CGTTGTAAACCGATCGCATGTTAGCACCCTAACCTAACCCTATGGGCGAGTTTCTATACCATGTACATTATGAATTCAGAACCTCTGAACCCTTATCAAACCTTATCAAGTTTTTTAATTACGTAAAAGAAGAGTATAAACTGTATTTCATTACTTAACCATAATATATTTTCACTTTTTACTCACTGTCTTCTGATTGGCGAATAATTGTCAAGGTCATTTAAGATTCGTTCAAAGGTTGTCCCTAAATTAGAGGTTCACTAATATATCTTATTAATCTAGTTTACAACTGATTAGTTATGTTCTTAGCCCTGTAAAAATTTAAAAAAATCATTGTTTATTTTATTTTTTTGAAACCTTGACATACTAAATCCATAGTGAAGTATTTCATAAGGAACTTACCATTAAAAAAAGCCAATATTTGTCTATGAAACGGTTTTGTAGTATGAATGTTATACGGGCCTTGAGATGTAACGTACTTTAGACAATTTATAATAGAATATGAAGAAATCACTAGGAAATAATTTGAAAATTTTGTATTGATATAGTGAACCTATAAACTACAACGTAACTTGTCTTCTTTGATTGTAAATGAAGAAAACATCATATAGGTCGCTTTTATTTTAATCATGTTTTAACCATAAGAACAACAAAAAGGATGAACTGAATAATGGGCAATAACATAAATAAATGATCACTAATAATAAAAGGAATGTTCTTTTATATATGTATATGAATTCACTTTATTCAACATTCAAAGAATAATGTAAACATATCATTTTTCAACACTATTAGAAACAACATACTGTGGGAGAGAACAAGCCAAATTTCGGCGGAGGGAGACATCAGGAAAAAGCGCTGGAAGTGGATAGGATACACATTAAGGAAAGCACCCAACTGCATCACAAGACAAGCCCTCACATGGAATCCTCAAGGCCAAAGGAAAAGAAGAAGACCACAGAACACATTACGCCGGGAAATAGAAATAGACATGAGAAAAATGAACAGGAATTGGATGGAACTAGAGAAAAAGGCCCAGTACAGATTGAGTTGGAGAATGCTGGTCGGCAGCAGGCGTAAGTAAGTATTATCATTATTAATAGCTTTATTCAAACTTATATTTTCGGTGCAATATAGAATTCTCAGCGCAAAGTATTTCAACAAGTTTCCGTTTCTTTCTTCCTGGTCGGTCCTGACGATAAATATTGAGTGATCGCCAGTAAGTTGTTAACAGTCTTGTAAATGAACAGCTGAATAATGTACATTCTTTTCCTTGTATATTGCCAGCTACCACATTCTCTCTTATTGAGCTTTTTTACAACGGAAGTTTGTACACTTTTTAGAAACGTAGCAGAATAGGTTGTGCGATTAATAGACATAATCATATATTAAAACAAACAAAAATAGATAACTTGTTGAAATATCTAGATGGCAGGAAAACGTAGTCCAGATGCTCAAGCAGGCCGCCTTGTTATGATCAAGTAAGTAAGTAAGGGGATCATAAAACAGGATATAGACTATTAGTAAGTGACTGGTAATGTTAAAAGTAATAAAAAATAGGATACACACTGCTCATGACTGGTATAAGTGAAGATTTGTTAGCCCCAAAACACTATGACAACGACGAGTCAAAAATAGTTTAAAATACACTGGTTTATATATTGATTGTACACCCATTTTGATTAATAATTAGGATTAAATCACTGAATGATCCTCATGATGAATGTTGAACCAAAACTCATAATGAGTAACTCAATCGAAAATTGATTTTTCTTTCTCATCATATCAGAGATATACATTATTCACTTAAGATTCTTTAGTTAGTTGTACTTTTACATGAGTATGCGTTTTCTCAATAATACTTACATTGACTAATAAATCGTTATCTGTTTTATTCAATTAGTTACCAACAACATTTAGAAGTGAGAAATGTGTATGTTTCGTCAATCGATACAATCGATAGAATGTAATTAACAGGTAGATTTAACCAATGAAAAACCAATCAATAAAATAATTGGATTGGTTCAACATAGACATTCACACCATTAGAAACGGGCTCAGTGGTCTAGAGGTTAAACGTTGGCGCATGAAACCTATAGATCCTAAGTTCGGATCTCGCGATGCGGTATCGTGGATGCTCACTCCTCGGTATAGGACGAAACGGCCGTACAGCACTTCTAGGTTTTCAATTTACTCATGATCTCAACTATTAAAGTTACTAAAATCTCCACAAAACCCCTTCTCATAATCACCAACATTATCATCGTGTGCTCACTACTGAATGGCTTCAAGACGTATTTACTGGAGTTCTAGTGAGAAGCAGTGCCCAGTGGAATTCAAACAGTTCTGATATGAGATGGTAACTGACTGAAGACGAAGGTGGACGGTGGCTCAATTTGGGCGGTTGGTTGAAGTTAAACATTAACACGGTTGCATGCCTGCCAGACCAGTGATCTACAGGTTAAGTGTTGATGAGTGAAGCCGATAGGTCCTAAGTTCGAATCCCATGTGTACTTCCAGGTTTTCCATGGTGAGTGAACTTCAGTTAACTCATGAATTTAACTATTTAATTAAAATAATATTTAAATGATTCAATACAAGCATAAAGCATATCAGAAATAATAAGATTATGAACTACTCGATATATTATCCGAATAGCACATTCAACGTCCATTGAAACTATTATTTACCTGATGAATTGTATATCAGAAAATATGTATTTGACTATATGGGAATTCATTATATTCATTATTATTAACAGTATTAATACTATTACTATTGTTTATACTTTCTTGATAAAATGACAAATAATTATAACTGATATCATATAAATTAGTTTTCTCATTGAATGATGCACAATTAGAGTTATATACTTGATTATTATCAGAATGGGTTTTGTGGAGATTTTTTAGAAATTTCACAAGTTGCAATCATGAGTCAATTGAAGCTTGACCACCATGGAAAACCTGGAAGCACTGGAAGGCTGTTTCGTCCTAGTATGGGACTCCTCAGCAGTGCGCATCCACGATCCCGCTTTCTGCGAGATTCGAACACAGAACTTATCAGTCTCGCGTGCGATCTCATGGATTGGTTGAAGTTAGACATGGGATGCCGGTTCAATGGACTTATGGTTAAGCGTTTACGTGATAGTTTCTAGATATATCTACTGGTTTATTTAGATACAGATCCCAATCGTTTTAATGGAGTTGGTTGTTATTTGTACCGAAATATTGTGTGGATAATCATAGATAGTTTATATTAGTTGGCCTGGATAATTGGCTGATCTTTTAGTTTGAGATGCCTTAGAAATGCACACTCACGAACCCATCACAGAATAAACCCAGATTCAAATCATATTTTTAACGTTACTTACTCATTAATCATGTGCTTTTAGATATAGTTCATTCTACTTGTTAGAACTGCTCATATGAACTTCTAAAAATCCACCTTAAGGTGACAAGAGATATTAGGATAAAGACGTTAGATACAGCTCCCTGCTTCCGAAAAATTCTCTAACTAAGTAATATTCCTTCCTACAATTTTAAATACATTTTGTCAAAGTTTTGAAGTCAGAAATGTTAACATTCACTTATTTGAACCATGATTAGTCTACTATATCATTTCATTGATTACATTGATCTATCTTTCAGTATTCACTAAGGTTGTACTATCCAACTACTCGTAAGATTCACCTACCACTAACCACTAGATAATCTGTTTCCGGTTACTAGCTTAAAAGCTATTAATGGAAAGAAATCATCTGAATTTTAATAGCTAATCTTGTTTGATGATAATTATGATTATTACTATTATTAAGGTCTTTACTCAATATTATATATTTGGTACAATATAGAAATCTTAGCCTTGAGTATTTCAATGAGTTTCTTTTACAAGAGAGAAAAGAGGAAAAAAGGTAAAGAAACCCAATAATTGCGTACATATCTACATAAATGAACGAAATAGACTACCTGGAACTGATGCAACATAAAATATTGGAGAAAGCTTCACAGAACTGTATATCATTTCAGTCAGAGTGATTAATTTAAAGTGTCATTCTATTCAAAGTTTCAAAATTAAAGGATTTAGTAGACACTAATTTAAAATTAAACACAGGCTATATATTCACGATAAACTCGGTGAATATGCAGCAAAACATTTGGACAATAGGTGATTATGAAGGTCCAAGTAGCTCGTAATTTAATTTTTGCTGGTGATGAAAATATGCTTATGTTATTAAACTCAATGGCTAACACTGATCACTGTTTCTTATATGTTGAGTAAGATTCAAATAATCAGTTGATATTTCGGTTTAGTTTATTCTAAAAGAATTTGAATTGGTAGATTACTCTAAGTATTTAGATAAATATGAACGGTTTTCAATAGTTTTACTTTGAGCTTCACTTCAGAGAATAACTGTAGTAAAGCAACCACTGCGATCAAATGAGTACTGTGCAGAAGGATGGAAGGCGCCACTGGAGATCAAACCTAGGACCACTAGATATTCGTGTTTTAGTTCAATTGTTAGAATTTCTGACTGAAGTCAGGAGCTAGGGTATATATAGGACTATTGGTGTATATCTATTTTACATGTAAAATGTTTGGACTGCATTGGTTACAGGTTTTCACTAGAACCATGTAAATTACCTCAGGAATTTAGTATTTAATGAGTTAGAAATATTGACTCTTTGATTCCAACGAAATAATCTGGAGGTCAGGCTGTCACAACAATTTTTGAACGTTCTGGTTTCAATCCAAAGTATCATCAAATCATGAATCGCTTTTTATTTAACTTTTGAGTTCACTGTTGATGTAGAACGAAACTTGACAATGAGTACAGCTCTAAGTAGCCAGTTTTGTTCAGAAACTCTCACAATGCAAGAATAGTAACCGATTCGAGCTACGGCGTCTGTAAAGTTGCACAAAGAATACAGTCAATCCTTCAGACAGAAGAAGAATAGAATATCAAAATCGTAATCAACCTGTCTTTTGTCACGATGTTGTTATTGATCTACTATTTGACAATCAATTATTGTTTTGCTTACATCAGGATCAGTGAACCTCTTCGGCTTTGGCTGATCAAATGAATTTATTACTAACTCCCAAGTGGTTATTGTATCATTAACGAATTTTTGATCGTAAGCAATTGAATTATACTTGTGTAACTCAGTGATATTTGTCACATTTGAGGAAAGTGTATAATCACATTTAACATTAACTGATGTACTAGCAGGGATAGGAAGGGGAACATAGGATTGAACTTCAGAATCCTGCAAATCTGAAAAATAAAATGAATTCATTACAACAATGAAACAATACACATTTGATAACTTGTTATTGTTCTTATTGTTCATAAAAACAAATATGGGTATCTTATACAAAGGGTCTTATTTATTTTAGTTTTCGATTATGTCCATTAATCTTTGTAATCATTTCGTCATCTGAGCAAAGTTACTTCTGCTCTTATCTTTCGATTTATGGTATATAATTAAAGATTTTTCCCGAAGTATTAACATAGGTCAGGTTTATCGAATAGTGGCTTTGAAATTTTTCATTTCAAATAATCGGTAAAATTTTATAAGTAAAATATTTTTATAGCCTATTATTCCCTACACTGTACATCATCATTTTAAATCAAGACCGATCAAATATCGAGTGAAATTTGGATTAAAAGTTTATTATCATGAAAATGTTCAATTCTCTTTCTTTGCCTAAATTATGCAGAAACTGAATTTTTTACATTCTAAAAATACAAAGTTCACGAGTTGATCTAAATTTTAACAACCATTGCAAACTCAAAAGCACTGGATGGGTGATTCAACCTGATGTGAAACAGTCCAGCAATGCGAACCCACAGTCCTGCATTTAGAAACCCAACACAGGATCTTGGATCTTGCACATGAACGTCTGACCTATAGACCGTTGAGTTTTTTCATTCAATGGTGTTATTGTCAAACTTTAATCAATCTATATTATTGTACAACCTTATATCTATTGTGGAAGGTGGAAAATTGTCTGACATTCGACACGGATTGGACTACACTAGTCAATTCTTTACATCATAACTCGAGGAGTTATATCTTGAAGTTAGTTACTAGTGGGCTTGTGATTAATAAAAAAAATTGGTTTGTGTATATTTTAGTATGTTCAAAGTCAAATTCATGAATTGGTATAAACTAAACCACCGTTGAGAATTTGAAAGCACTGGACAGCCATTTCGGCTCTTGAATGCAGACTCAGTGGTCTACAGGTTAAGCGCTTGCGCACCACATCAAAGGTCAAGGTTTCGAGTCCGACAAGCAATACAGTTGGTAAGCATTGCTGAAGAGTCCTGCGTCATCAATATTTAGAGGCGTTCACCACTGGTATAGGATGATGGTGGTGCAATATTGAGAATCAAAAGAGGTTTATAATATGAACTGTCAAAAGCCAACCTGGTAATGTTGTTGATCTCGGCTTTAATGGATCACAAAAAGTAGACAATGTAAACTCACCACTGTTACCACCACATAACTATCAAAGATCAACAAATTCACAATGTTCATTATGATAAGACCACTATCCGATACTTGTTTGAATACCATATCAAATAGGTTATTATATGTATTTGTTGATATATTGTCACTTCAACTTCATTATTCTGGAATACATCCAGCGATAACTGCATAACATGAACATAGAAAAAACCCCTAGGCCAAAAAGGCCAGGGTTATCAAAAGGTCGTTTTTTTTAATCCCGTGTGAAATCAAATGCTATTGGCACGACTGAATTTTTCGTAGTTAGCAGAAACATTGTTGACGACCCTGATATAATTTTCGAACAATTCAGCCAACACTGGAACTGAAAATTCTATCAATACATTTCTAATGCTAACATCCCGATGCCTATCGAAAATTGATTTCATAGCCTACAACATCACGCATGCATTAACTGCCCTGAAAAAGTCTTATAACGATGGACCTAACAAGATTCGGTCATCATTTGTGAAATATTGTTGTAGAGAACTCCTATTATTTTTGTTTAAAACCTTTCAATTTATCTATGGAATATAGGTCCAATTCAACTGTATGCAAAACATCTCTTACCACTTTTGAATCCGAAACGGGATCATGTTGTGATATTGTTCAATATAGGCCGATTAATTTGAAATCTGTGCTGTAAAGAATCACGGAAAAAATCATCCACAAACAGCTATTATCGTTTTTACATTCAGATAAACTAGTTAGTCCTTCGCAACACGGGTTTATGACCAAATGCTCATGCCTCATATCGCACCTGGAATTTTTTGATCAAATTACTTAGAGAAGAGATGTTGGTCAGTCAGTGATAATTCTGTACTTCGATTTTCGTAAGGCTTTCGACAGTGTCTCACACAAGCGTCCTCTTCTAAAATGCTCTTGTTCTGGCATACATAATCCCCTTTTATCTTTGCTCAAATAGTTTTTAGAAGAACGTAGCCGAATCGTTCATTATGGATCTTGCTACTCGAAACCTGCGAATGTGGTGCAGCCATAACGACCTTACTGAAACTGAATGTGTTAAAAAAAGTATCACCAAAACTATTTCAGAGTATTCCAACAAGGACTATCACCGAAGACGCCAACAACTAGGACTAGAATCTCACTGAAACGGACGTGTCAAATTAAACTTTTTCTTGGTCCACCGGTTTGTTAACAATATTTCTTGCTTCTTGGCACACAATAAGGAGAATATTCAAGCGATTGCAAGAACCTAAATAAGCTTACGCCAGACATTTCTTGTTATTTGCTACTCAACCATGTGGAACAGACTGTCAGTGAACCCCCGCTGCAGTAAAATTACAACCCAGTTCAAAAGTCTCCTTAATGATTTCCTTTCTGAAAGTAGATGGTCTCACCTGTTGAATATCAATAAGTTTAATAACGATTTGTACAAATCAGGCCCATCATCTATCTAATTGAATGAAAAGCAAAGTGCGACCTTTGTAACTTTTCACGTCTACGTTCTTTTTTTCTCTTTCTATTCTACTTAATATATAATAATTGCTTTATTCTTCCCTCGACATACCATATATTCTTTTCGCCTTTTCTTTTCCTTCTAAACATATTTTATTCCTAAACCCGAAATGGTTTCTTCACAACACTTATGTACCCATAAGATGTTTGTGTATAATAACAATAATAATAATAATAATTGTAAAGAAAACATTTCACTTATCCTAATGCACTCACGTTGTGCTTCGTTACCAACTTATTAAGACTACTGTAATTATATAAATTACGTAATCTAGCATTATAATCTTTTGATTTCATCATCTCAATAATTACCTGTTAATATGTACTCGCGAAACTCTTATTCTAGAAAAAATGGCCGTCTTACGTATAAATGTGCTGAACTTTGTGTTATTAAAAATTTATCAAATAGTTTAAAGCTTGTAAGAAAGCGTTGGTCGGTTTGTGTAAAACGAACGACTGTCAGTTTCTAGTTATTGAGAAAATATTCTCAATATGCTTTCAATCAATCACCTCACTGACATCAATTATGTTCGATGATTCTCATGTGAATTACAACGAACTCAATAAAACATTTAAGGTCTGCAGGTAAACATGCGATATTTATTGACAAATCTACCTAATACTAACTAAAATAATCATAGTTTCAATTAGTTCAAAGTTTCTATGAACTCTATTTCCCCAAACTGTTAGTTCCTCTTAGTTATATATTGAAATAGTAAATATTTCGAAGAAAACTCGACTAAATTGTTTTTCGGACCATTTCTACCTATCTGTGCTTGAATAACGAATCCAGATAGATGATTTGAACCTTAACGCGTTGGATTACACTTCTGTCTTCTGTGCAAGTGTCGTGAAGAGTTTCTAAATAGCAGTTCTGTTGGTTGTCGTATTCCAGATATGTATAAAAATTTCATAGAAAGTACATCAAGCTATTCTACACAGTTGAATTTTATATTATTTTGAAATTTGACTCATATGGTTCACAATTTTTGTATATCCAAACATTTATCATAGAAGATCAGTTTGAACCTAAAATTTTAACCTTGTGAATGAAGACCAATTTAACAATCATAGGTTGGCTAATCCCGAAGATAATATAACCTGTGGAACCAGCAAAACGTGGTCGTTTTGAATATGCGTTGGGTAGATTGAAGAATAATGCTCTTTGGAAATTCTATACAGATTAGTAGTTAAACAATACTTATAAATAAAATGTACAATTGCAGAAAGTGGTACGAGTGTAGCTTGAGAACGCTCTCCATGTTGAACTGTATCAGAAAACTCAATCCAATCTTCAAATGTTGATTTTTCCTTAGGATCAGTGAAGTTGAATAGGGTTTTGTCGATTAAATCCTTTCAGTGTATAAGGGTTGTTCCTAGTGACTTTTTTACACAGCGTTGTGAATATTTGTAATCATCATTCTGAAGTGAACCAGCTTAAAATTCAATTGAAGTATTTACCTGGGATGTAAAATAGAATTTAACTTGTCGGTCTTTTGAAATGGTGATGTCAGTATAGGATTGCATTCACGCGCTATAAAGCGGAGAGATTTAAGTTACAAGTTTCAGCCGTTAGGTGCAGAATCGGTGATGTATAGATGCAGCCTTGCATTGTCGCTTGACTGACGCAACACCTTCAACACTACGAAGAATATATGAGCATGACTTTCACCATTACTTACTGGTCAAATAATGTAAACTACTTTATACATGGTCATTATCACACACCGAAACTCTAGTAAACTATCGTGAGGTAAAACATGACTGTATACAGCTTAAGTGCTTAAATGTTTATCACTGACAACAGAGAAAGATCGTCATTGTCTATCGTGAATCAACGAAAACGTGAAAATGAAACTGTTACATTTTAATCAATTGGCCTGAATATGGCGAATTCATCATATCATCTGACTGACCGAATTTTCAGTTGATATATAGTTTTCAACGATTCTGTAGATGACTCTAGTTTTCGATGAAATCATGTTTGCAATAAACTGTTCTGCACAATCAAAGATTCAATTAAAGTGGATTATTTTATCAGCGAACTCTTACAACGATGATATGTGTTTGTATAGAGCAACTCTCAGAATACCAAAAAAGGTCGGAAATATACTACTTACAGCCGATGGATTGAAATGCGTTTGGTTATTTGACGGGTTTCTGTTTAAAAATCTAAAGAACGTAAGTCGATCTATTTGATTCATCTGTATATGTTAGCTAAGAATATCATTCTGATTCACAGAAAGTTTGCGTGTTGTTACGGCTTCGCGGTCACACAAACTCCTTTTATCCATGTTAAGTCGTTG